CTCAACATCGAGACGAACTGAGCCCCCGAATCCGCAACTTCACAATTACGAGTCCGTTAGCCTAGCCTTTCGACTACCTACGCCACAAATAAATGGAGGATGGATGGATGAGCCTAGACTATGTAGAGGAAAATGCATTATAGAATATTAGTATATCTGGATGGAAGAGTGAGAGAAAGGGGACGTGGAGGAACATATGAATTGACATGCGAACGGGAACTGAGTGGACAGAAAAACAGGTGAACGGTTGGAACGAAGAAATATATATATATATATATATCGACAAGCATAAAAACGACATAAGATTCAGTTAAACATTAGACAGGTAACCAGATAACCAGAATATAGATTACAAAAGAGCAGGCCAATTGAAGTTTATGGAAATAGGTTTGATCAGTGCGCTTGAATGGTAAGGGGCGCAACTAGATAAATGGTTAATTCATACATTTAGTTCTACTTGATTATTTCCCCTATATCATCCTGCTGGTTTACAGTGTGCAGGCAGTTATAAAAACTCAATAGGCTTGTATAGAGTAGTGGAACGTGAATTTTTTACAAGATTGTTGGTCCGGATAAGGAGTAATATCTTCCCCTTTCGAACAAAAAAGATGAGATAGAACCAAAGAGGTTATGAATAGAACTAGAGGTCTTAGCTGTGACGTCACGTGTGTCAAACTTGAGAGGCGCGCCGCCATTCCGGAGAGGAACAAAAGACCAGTCGGTGCACAGCAACACTTTTCAATCACGGATTAATGATACTCTGCGAAGTCCTTTTATGTAGATTTCTTTTTCATGTGATTTGCCTATTGCTAAAATGTACCCATTGGATTTTTGTGACTGTTTACCTTTAAATTAGCCAGATAATCTCCAAATATGGCAAATAGGGGCCTTTTGCACGCTGAGACCATTCAGGTGAGTAAAATTCAGAAAAAATTAACGAGGTTGATGATCACTTGTTAAAATTTAAAAAGTAATTTTATTGAAATCTTTTGTTGTGCAGTCGCTCAAACAGTGTGTCTAGATTTAGCACCGCTGACCACAGCAAGGCGCTCTTAGGGGCCCTCTGAAATCAGGAATGTGACTGAAAGGTTGCTTAAAGCTTCAACTGTAATTTTAGCACACCTTCAAGGCTGGCTGAAAGGAAAAGAATCACTGCCGATGTTGTTGAGATGAGAGAATATAAAGTAGCCAACCAGGTGTAACTACCGATCAATAAGACCGGCGTAATATTCTATCTCATTTGCAGAACCGATGCCAAACAGCATGTGCATCAGCAGCAGCAGGGACTCATGGAAGATGGGGTGTTTTGTAGCCAAACACCATAGCCAATTAACGCCAATTTTAGAAAATATTTTGAACGTTTAAGATAAACAGGCTATTTATCTTAGTGTCGCATTTCAAAATGTTGTCAGTTTATATTTTTTTTGTGCCCGATATTAAACAACGCTCTTTGAATTTGGGTGTGCGCAAAGGATCCATATATGAGTGATTTACAGTATCTCAGCCTATCATAAATTGTTCCTTTTGAGACAATAATATAATATTAACATATTAAATAATTAACCCAGTTTTAACCCCCTTCATACACTATGCAGACCTACTAGGCTTTGCATCAGTAGAAGGAAAATGTAGACAACATGACATAAAAGCAATCCATTTTGTATGAAATTGTCCTTTTTCTTAACAAACAAAATTACTCACTTTATTCCCCAACACCCCTCCCCCACCCCATCCCGGAAAAACAAACAATACCTCTCAGTATATCTCTCTGTTCATATGTAGCCCATATTTAAGTGCATTTATGTTTCCCATAATCGTTCAGCAGATGCGGTACTGTGTATGCGTGTATGTTATGATTAAGCAACAGCAAATAAAAAGAAAACTTAAAATAAAACTGAACTGAGCTTCAAACTCTATGCAGACCTAGGCGTTGCGAGGGACACGCAGCCTGACATCGACAGCGCTGTTTCTAATCCTCTCAAAAATGGCGGCAAAGCTAGCTGAGTGCCCCCCCCCTCCCCCCACAGCCATAGTGAATTTACGTTGGTGACGTCACAGCTGCGACCTCTAGTACTACATGTATTATAATTATAAACTCTTTGGATAGAACTGAAAGAATTCTGCCAGTCTGACTCTAGGGATTGTCAGCGTGTTCAGCTGCCCCTTTTTGAGGGAATAAAAAGATCTTGCTTATGCTGCAAGACCGAACTTTAAGTTGCCAC